AAAGAAATGATTCTGAACCATAGAAAGTCTGAAGAATGGCCAAGAGACATATGAAGAAATGCTCAACATCACTAGTCAGCAGAGAGATGCAAATTAAAACAACAATGAGGTATCCCCTCACACCTGTCAGAATGGCCGCCATCAACAAATCATCAGACAAGTGCTGGCGAGGGTGTGGAGAAACGGGGACTCTAGTACACTGCTGGTGGGAATGCAGACTGGTGCAGCCACTATGGAAAACAATATGGTGTTACCTCAAAAAATTAAAAATGGAACTGCCATTTGACCCAGTGATCCCACTTCTAGGAATATACCTTAAGAGGCCTGAAACACCAATCAGAAAGAATATATGTACCCCCATGTTCATAGAAGCACTATTTACAATAGCTAAGATCTGGAAATAGCCCAAGTGTCCATCAGTAGACAAATGGATAAAAAAGCTGTGGTACATGTACACAATGGAGTACTATGCAGCTGTAAGAAAGAAAGATCTCTTATCCTTTGAGACGAGATGGAGGGACCTGGAAACTATTATCCTAAGGGAAACAAGCCAAGCAGAAAAAGACAAATACCACATGATCTCACTTATTTGTGGAATATAATGAACATAACAGTCTGAGGAATGGGGTAGACCCAGAAATATGGAAGTAGGGTACAGACTGACAACCCTCAGGAGAGGGGTGGGGAGAGATAAACTTATATGCATGTATGCATAACCAATGGACATGGACAACAAAGCCAGGGACGGGGCAGGGGGGATGGGGAGGAGGGTGTCAATGGGGTAAAAAAGGAGAAACATCTGTAACAACAACAAAAAAAGCCTGAAGAGTAAGAAAGTTCTTTAGAGTTAACAAATAATTTATTGCTAAATATTTGTAATTGAAACTCATAAAAACCTTTTGAGGCAAATATGCAGGGTTTTTAATCAGTCTCATTATACAGATGAGGCTCAAAGAGGTGGAAAGAACCCTGGCCAGTTTGGCTCAGTGGTTGGAGCGTCGGCCTGCGGACCAGAGAGTCCCAGGTTCGGTTCCCACTAGGGGCGCTACCAAAAAAAAAAAAAGAGGTTGAAAGAATTTGCTTACGGGTACAGAACTAGCCCTGGCCAGGTAGCTCAGTATGTTAGAGCATCACCTTGATACCCCAAGGATGGGTTAGATCCTCCATCAGGTCACTTACAGGAATCAACCAGTGGCCCAGCTGGTGTGGCTCAGTGGTGGAGCGTGGACCCATGTACCAAGAGGTTGCTGGTTTGATTCCCAGTCAGGGCACATACAAGAATCAACCAGTGAATGAATAAATAAGTGGAATAACAAATAGATGTTCTCTCTCGTGCACTCATGCTCTCTCTCTCTCTCTCTCTCTCTCTGTGTCTTCCCTTCCTCTCTCTCTAAAACAAAATTTTTTAAAGATGGAGGTAGAAGGAGATAGAGGGGGGATAAATGGTGATGGAAGGAGACTTGACTTGGGATGGTGAATACACAATGCAATGTACAGATGACATATTGTAGAATTGTATCCCTGAAGCCTGTGCAATGTGACTAACCAATGTCACCCCACTCGATTTTACAAGAGTATAGAACTAGTAAGTGACAGTGCCAAGATTAGAACACAACTCCTCCGACTCCAAGTTCAGGGTATGGGGAGAGGGTGTCTCAGAGAATGGAAGATGTGTTCCAGGGACGAGAGAGACCGGTAATGGTGCATGGCCGGGGCTCTCGCCCAGGGGATGGGAGAGTCACCCAGGGTCGTGGCTCCACCGTCGCCTACACGGTGGGGCCAGCTCGAGAGCTGTGGAAATCCTAGACCCTTTGATGGATCTGAGGTCAGCATGAACTGGGTTAGAGTTATCCAGACGCCTCGTGCGGAGCCGGAGCGAGCTCTCTCCGTCAAAGCCAAGCCGGGGACCTTGCACCCCGGGGCCTCAGGAGGGAGTCCCACATGGAGAGAAGCTGACAGAAGACTTGGAAGTGCTGGTCTCTGAAGGTGGTGAAGCCAGTCCTGGGGACAGAGTGTTCCTGGTAAAGGGGAGGGAATTTTCCTGAGGATTGTACAGTTGCGTGCCAGGGAATGGGAGGGGGTCGTTACGATACGGAGGCTGGTCCTGGCCGGTTTGGCTCAGTGGTTGGAGCGTCGACCCATGGACTGAAGGGTCTTGAGTTCGATTCCAGTCAAGGGCACGTACCTTGGTTGCAGTCCGGTCCTCAGCCCTGGTCGGGGTCATGCAGGAGGCAACCAAATTATGTGTCTCTCTCACATTGATGTCTCTCTCTCTCTCCCACTCTATCTGAAGATAAATGGAAAAAGTATCCTCAGGTGAGAATTTAAAAAAATTAAAAATAAATAAATAAATAAATAGCCCTGGCCGGTTTGGCTCAGCGGTTAGAGCGTCGGCCTGCGGTCCAGTGAGACCCGGGTTCGGTTCCGCTAAGGGCATGAACCTCAGTTACAGTTTGTCCCCTACCTGAACAAAAAATGAAAAAATGTCCTCAGGTGAGGATAATGTGTGTGTGTGTGTGTATATATATATATTTACAATTAACTTTAAAAAAAGACACAGCGGTTATGTTGGGAGAATGAAGAGCCTGTCTAGGAAATGGAGGAAGTATTGATTTGGGGATAGGACGCTGAGGGCCCCACAGAAGAGCAGAGAAAAGCCAGCCAGCACTTGAGGGTTCAAGCTCTGCCCTGCCACCAACTAGTCGCGTACTCTTGGGCACATTGCTTAACCTCCCTGTGTCTCAGTTTCTTTATCTCTGAAGAGATTGTACTTTGAGACAACATGAAGGGACCTGGAGAGCATTATCCTAAGTGAAATAAGCCAGCCAGAGAAGGACAAAGACCACATGATCTCACTTATCTGTGGAATATAATGAACAAGGTGGGCTGACGAATGCAACAGACCCAGAGACATAGAAAGGAGTACGGTTCAGACCTCAGAGGAGGGGGACAGGGGGTATGAATGAGATGAACCAAAGAACTTATATGCATGTATGCGGAACCAGTGGACACAGACAACAATGCTGGGGGGGGCAGTCTCGGGGGGGGGGAGAAACATCTGTAACAAAAATAAATGAATAAAAATTGGAAAAATAAAAGATTGTAATACCTGCTTCATAAGGCTTTTGTGAGGATTACATGAGCAATGTCCATAGTAGTTGCTCAGCAAACACGAGGGTCGGGAGGTCTATAATGGAGCGTTGCAGGTGCAGGGGAGGAGGAACTTCCCCCTCAAGGTTCCTTCTCCTGGTCAAATAATCAAGTAGATGTGAGACAGACGTGCAAGAGAAAATGACCAAAATAACTACTTACGCCTGTATGGGAACCCCACATATGGAGAGGTTCAAAAATAGAGAGGGAAAGTGTGGTGTATATGACATTTTGAGCAAGGGACACCTTGGGGACTTCAAAGGGTTGTTGAAAGATGGTAAGAGGAGATGTGTAGTGATTGGAACTTTGCCTTGCTCTGTGAATACGTAAAAAAGGTCATCTCTGTTCCGGCCTTATTGTGGGACGTCCCCGCCCTCAAATTCCTTTAGGTAGTGAAGGGTGTTCCCTTGAGCCTGCGGGGTCTTGGTTGCCTTTAGCTCAGAACGACCTGCATATCACGGTGGCGCATCTTGGGGTGACTCGCTCTGAACTCCAGCGGAGGTTAACTTGGAGAATCAAGGGTCCATCTGGACAAGGAACATTGGTCCCCAGGAATGGTGGTGATATGGGACATGGGTGGGGAGAAGCGAAGGGGGGCTCCAAAACCCACCCACGCCTCAGTGACAGGGTGGGACTTGGAGATGTCCTGCAGGGGCCACCAGCGTCCAGGCCGCGGAGGGGCTGGAGGAGGGGCATGAGCCGGGGTAGGTTTGACTGCTAGTAACCTCTCAACTGGCGCAGACAGGAGACTCCTCTGTGGTGTGGCGGCTGCAGCAGCCTCCGGTCGTCCCATCAGTGTCTGCTGGGTGACAGGTGGGGACTTAACCGCTCAGGTCACATGTCTCAGCGGGCTAACCTGCTTACCCCTTGAAGACGGGCTGGGGCAGACAGAGGGCGAGAGGAATCGCTTGAGAAGGGAGCAGAGCAGGGGCAAGGCCCGCGGGCCTGGGGACCTGTGTGTGAAGGCCTGGGGGGTGAGGGAGCGGCTGCACGTGCCATGAGAGGGTGTCGCAGGCGGTGGCTTCCAGCCCTGCTCATGTCCTGCCACCCGGGCGCCTCCCGTATCAGGCATGTGCCCGTCTGAAAGGACCGAGTTTGCCTGGAAGAGCGACATTTCCTCAGTCCGGGCAGGCGGAGCTCGGGACCAGCTCACCTTTGGAGCTGCTGACAAGCTCTCCCCAAAAGAGCCCCCCTTCCCTGTCTGAACCAGTTTCCTCGACCTTAGAGAGGGAAAGGGGCCTGGTGTGGAGGAGGGGAGGGGGATGCCCAGGACTTGCTTTCAAAGCCTTTGTATCTAATTTGGAGACGCCCTGGGAACCCTGAGCTGCAGGCCAGAACCGAGGGGCGTTGGTGGAGGGCGCGGGTGCAGACTGGCCCCAAACTTCAGTCTCTTGAGAGAGTTGAAATCTGCACCCCAACCCCCCGCCCCCCACTGGTTAGTCTGTAGTCCAGGGACCTGTCCCTGCTGCGTGCTACCAGCTCTCCTTCCCTCTCGGACCCAGATCAGCCCTTCACCGCCCCCTCCCCGTCCTGGGTCCGCGGCTGCGGGTCTCCTCCGGGCCGTCCTCGGCTCCGCGGCTGCGGGCGCGCGCGGGCCCTTTAAGGACCGCGGAGCCGGCGATCGGTAGCTGGGAGGAGAGCGCAGTCGCCCGGCGGGCTCCGGGGGACCAGGCGCAGGGACCCGGTGCGCGCAGCCGGCGGAGAAGGGGCGCGCCCAGCCGCCCCGCCCGACCTGCCATCTCTCGGACGGGAGGCGGGGGCCCTGCCCGGCTGCCCGCTCCGCCCCCGCCCCGCCCGGCCCGGGACCGGCCCGGGAGCCGGGACTCGTGTGCCGCAGCCGGAGCCTCCATCCCCGGCCGTGGCGGCGCCCAGCGTCTCGGCCCACACCGGCCCGCGGGCACCTCAAGGTGACTAGGCAGGCGGGGGACGGGAGGGGTCAGCCCGCCGTCAGGGGCTGGCCGGCCGGGGTGGGTGGGGGTTGGGTCGGGTGGTGCATCCGTCTCTGCGGAGCGCCCAGGGCGCGCGGATCCAGGGGCGCCGGCGGGAGGCCGGGCCACGGCTTTGCGCCCCAGGATGGGGAGGCCCCGAGCCTCGGCTCCCTCCGTTCCCCGGTCCACCCTGCGCTCACCCTGCTGCCGTGACCTCCTAGCCACTAGCCACTAGCCTCCGCCGGCCGCCTCCCGCGCCTCAACCAGCCCAGTCCCCTGGGGCTGCCGGCCTGCGGGGTAAGCAGATTAGAGCCGCGGCCGGGAGGGGGAGCGGGCGAGGCTGCGAAGGGCCGGGCCGGGGCTGCCCGACCGCAAGGAGAGGTCGGCACTGAGCGCGGCGCCCAGGGCTGGGGGCAGGGGCGGCGCAGAGGCTCCGGCGGTGCGAAGCGGGGTGCTCGGGGTAGCGTACCTGACCCGAGCAGGAGGCGGGAGTGGGGGCGGAGCAGCATTAGAAAACGGGGAGCGGCGAGCCGGGCTGGGGTGCCCCGGGCTGAGCAGGCCCTCGCACTGCAGGCGGCCAGCGTGATGGCGGAGAAGGCGCTGGAGGCCGTGGGCTGTGGACTGGGGCCCGGGGCCGTGGCCGTGGCGCTGGAGGACGGGGCGGAGCCGCCGGTGCTGACCACGCACCTGAAGAAGGTGGAGAACCACATCACCGAGGCCCAGCGCTTCTCCCACCTGCCCAAGCGCTCAGCCGTGGACCTCGAGTTCGTGGAGCTGTCCTACTCCGTGCGCGAGGGGCCCTGCTGGCGCAAACGCGGTAGGGAGCAGCCTGGGGGGCCGCGGCCACCCGGCCCCACGCGAGTGGCCTCTTCGGGAGCCTGAGGCTGGGTGTCCCCTGCCCTGCACCAGTGGGCGTCGGGGGAACACGGGAAATCCCGGCCCTCAGAGTGGAGGTGCCAGGGTCTGGGCTCCCTCCGCACCTGTGCGCGCCGAGACACTAGCGGTAGTTGGTGGTTGACGTTTTCCTCTTCCAAGTTGGCTCTGATCCTTGAGGGGTTTCCCTCCTTTATTTCTAGGGAGAACTCTCGCCTCTGAGGGCTGGTATGAGAAAGTGTGTGGGGTGATGTGCAGGGGTTCTCGGGGTTTGGCGATAACCTCGTACCTGGAGAACACTGCCCGTTTACAAAGCCGCTCACTCCCGCATTTTACTTCATGTGCCCAGGTCCTTCAAAGTCCTGAGGCTGAAGGTTCGGCAGCATAGAGGAGGTCCCATGTCACTCATAAGGGAACCGAGGCCCAGGGGCGTTGAGTCACGTATGTCCCACAGCTAATACGTGGTGGAGCTGGGACAGAAGCTAGGTTGCACAGCGCTCCACCAACTTTTCTGTCAACGTAAGAGTGTCCAGACCTGTAAGAGTTTACTGGTGTTTATTTAAACTGAGGACATGTCCAGACCAAGATCTCGACAGACTGAGAAAATGCTCCCTGTGCCTAGAATCGCAGTTTGGTAGTTCTTCACACACAGAGAATCGAAGGAGAGAGAACATAAGGAAGGTTACATGAAATCTAGTGGTGGGCCTGGACGGTGTGGCCCATGCACCCAGAGGTGGCCAATTCCCCTCAGGGCACATGCCCAGGTTCTGGGCCAAATCCCCAGGAGGGGGCATGCAGGAGGCGGCCAGTCCATGTTCTCTCTCATGGATGTTTCTATCTCTCCCTCTTCCTTCCTGTCTCTCTAAATTCAATAAAGGAGAAAAAAAAAAAAAGAGAGAGAGAGAAAGCAATCTATTGGTGGTAGATATGGGAAGTGGAAGAAAGCATTGTGGGAAATCTGAAAGTTAACATTGACAAGAATAGAAATGGCAACAAGGTAACAAGGAGGACTTTGGGAGCATGTGCTCTCCTCAGGGTGATGACAGCTGGGGGGGGGGGTCTGGAAAAGAGGGTTATTCTGGCATTTATTGCTCAGGGGCGTTATCCTAGGACGCATAAGAACCACGGACAGGGGTCACTTAGGGTGATTCACCAAGACCTGCTCTGGTAGAAATTTACACTCAGATCATCCTGTGAAGATACTTTTAGTCACTGAGCTGGTCAGCCCTGCCATGGGATCCCCATGCTTGTCTGATTTACTATACAGCCCCCCCTTTTGCTCACAGCCTTTTTCTCTCAACTTCCCGGAGACAGCATTTCCATCTCCTCTTCCCCCCATCAGGGTGTTGGGGTAAGGTCTGGGGCTCCGAGTTTCTCTGAACCCCGACCATCCCCCACATCTCCTGCCTGGGCCACTAGGGCTGGGAACAGAGAAGCTGGCTTTTCCCCCAGAGCCTGGTGTGGGTCAGGAGTGGAGCTGGGGTGAAGAAGCAGAGCTGGGGTGCTTCAGAGCGGGGTTGAGTGTGCCCTGTCTCTGCACATGGTAAGATGGGCTGGCTCTCTGGATGCTTCAACCCACCAGCCACAAGGTTGGCACCCTTACCTGGTCCTCTCTCCTTTGGACCTTGCCAGCCCCTTTCCCTGCCCTCTGTCCTCTCTCTAACTTCTCTTTTCGTTTGAACCACTCTCTTTCTCTGAAGGGGAGAGAGTCATTACAGGTGGGCAGGGAGGGACAACAGCAAGGCCTGTGGGGAGAGGGAGGTGTCCGCCTTCCTGAGGTAAAGCTTTTGCCAGACTCCCCTAATCCTGGGACATCTCTCGTTGTTCAAAACACTTTTTTGAACTTTTTTCTAAATCCTCACCTGAGGACATGTTTTTATTGATTTTAGAGAGGGAGAGAGACATCGATGTGAGAGAGAACTCCCCATTGGTTGTCTCCCATACCCATCCCAACTAGGGATCAAATCCTCAACCTGAGTATGTGCCCTGACCAGGAACCAAACCTATGACCTTTTGGCGCATGGGACTGTGCTCCAACCAACTGAGCCACACCGGCCAGGGGAAAACACTTTTAAATTAATTATCTTAATATTTACAAAACCCGATTATATCTTTGGTAGGAGATATTGCTAGCTTTATTTTATTTTATTTTATTCTATTTATTTATTTGTTTGTTTTTAAAATATGTGTTTATTGATTTTTAGAGAGAGAGGAAGGAGAGGGAGAGAGACAGAAACACCAATGACAGAGAAATATCAGTCGGCTGCCCATCAGCCCAAAACCCAGACACACGCCCTGACCGGGAATCTAACCCGCGACCTTCAGTGCCTGGGACGATGCTCACGCCCCTGAGCCGCACTGGCCAGGGCTGTCTTTACTACATTGATGAGGAAACCGACACCCTAGGAGAGGAAGTGAATTTACATCGCACAGGGAGTGACTGGTACTGACGGGGGTGAGACTAGAACCCCGGTTCCCTTCGGTCCGAAGGCCTGGCAGCCCCTCCGTGCCAGGTAGTTATGCTCCAACAGGCTCCAAGGACATGGGCTCCTCGCCACTTGTAAGCTACGTGACCTTGGGAAGGCTGCTTACCCTCTGTTGGCCTCACTTTCTGCATCTGTGAGCTGGGACGATAAGCATCCCCACCACACAGGCTCGTCGCGAAGGTCAGATGTTACTGTGCAGAGGCTCTGTGAGAGGCAAGTGCAGGTGTTCCGAGTGTGGTTGTGAGATGTTTGTATCAGGCGTCACTGTTCCATCTGGGACTTGGCTGTGATTCAGTGGGACGAAGGTCCATCCTTGCCAGTTTCTCTCCCTGCAAAAGGAATCAGTTCCCTGGGTGGCCCTGAAGCCATGCGCTGAAACACAGAAGCACGTGTCTTTCTGATGCGGATGGTGGTGATGACCGAGGCGGAGGGCTGGGACCCATGACGTCCCCTCTCCCAGTAAGCAACTTGCTCTGTGACCTGGCGTGAGTCGCTGGACATCTCTGGGCCCCCGTTGTCTCATCCGTTTGCTCTAGCAGAAAAAAGATAACGAACTTTGTAAACTGAAACACCGTCCAGGCAGTCGGTGTGATCAGGGCCCCACAGTGGGCAGCGGCTGCCCCCTTCTGATAGGGTGTCCCACTGAGACAGCGTGGTGCGGTGTTGGGAGGCGCAAGATCGCACCCCTTCACTGCTTCTGCGGAGAGAGTGGAGCGGGAGCTGGGCTCTCCGGGGCTCAGCGAGGGTGGCAGTGAGCAGAGGCAGGTCTGCACACAGACAGGCAGGGCCCCCTTGTTGGCCTCTTCCTTCCTTTCCACCCCGTCTCAGCAGGTGACCCATGTTGCATGTCCTACCTAGGAGAGCGCTTCCTCCCAACGCCTGGAGGGCGGCTGCCTCCCCTCCCACTGCGAAATGCTGCTCATCTTTCAAGACTTAGTGCAAATGCCACCTCTTCCATGAAGCCTTTCCTGATCTCCCCCTGCCCCTCCGCCCTCATCAGCTCCACTGTCTGCGTCCTCGTGCATCACGTGTGCTTTTGTCATAACCCTTATTTTGTCTTTCCTCAGATCCGTAGATGTTGTCCATCATTTTTACCTAGACGGTGACCTTCTTGAGCGCAGGAACTGTGTCTTCCTCATTCTTTTGTCAAGTGTCTGGTACAGAGCTTGGAATGTAGTAGATACCAATAAGCATTTGTCAAAAAGAATTAGCAATCAAAGGTCATATTTTAATTAATTTATTTTTTAATCCTCACCCGAGGATATTTTTTTTTTCATTGATTTTTAGATAGAGTGGAAGGGAGGGAGGGAGGAAGGAAGGGAGAGAGAGAGAGAGAGAGAGAGAGAGAGAGAGAGAAATATTGGTGTGAGAGAGACACATGGATCGGTTGGTTGCCTCCTGCACTTGGGGATTGAACCTGCAACCCAGGTATGTGCCCTTGACTGGGAATGGAACCCATGACCCTTCAGTCCATGGGCCCGAGGCTCTAACTGCTGAGCCAAACTGGCCAGGGCTTGTTGGTTCTTTATAACAACCCTATGAGATAGGTGCTATCATCCTCATTTTACAGATGAGTGACCTGGAGCTCAGAGAGGTTAAGCACTTGCCCAACGTCACACAGCTGGTAAGTGTGGAGCCAGAATTTGAACCTAAATTCACCTGACTCTAAGTCGGCGCATATGCTGCCTCCCGCTGAGTGAATGGAAGGTGAGGTTCCGCCGGGGCCACGTCAGGGGCCACGTCAGGGGCTGCGGCTGAAACCCGGGGGCAGAGAGCATACACAGAAGCCCTGCTTTTTCGGAAGGAGGCCCAGTCTCTGAGCGCACATTCCCAGAACAAACGCTATTGAGCATCTAGGTGCCAGACGGTCTGCTGAGGTTACAAAGATGAGTGAGACAAAGACCCTGCCCCCAAGGAGCTCACTGGCTAAGAGGCTGGAGGAGGGGGAGGCACAGCAAATAAGAGACATGCTGGCGTATGAGAAGCGCTGAGGGACACAGAGGACGGTCCTCCAGCCCAGGCTGCGCCTTGGGAGAGCCTTCCCGGAGGGGCGTTTAAGGAAGAGGACCCGGGTTCTCTCTAACCTTGTCCCCCTTTCCATGCCCAGCCATGAGGTGTGGGGTTTCACCATTGCTTCCAGAAGAGCATTGTCAGATCTGGGACTTCGATGGCAGTAGTGCTCATTTCTTGGGGGACAGAACGAGAGGGTGGGGGTTATTGTCGGAGCTCTGAGGGTTTCTCCTCTGCCCTACGAGTTCACACTGAGTAAGGACTGAGCCAGGGCTGCTCCTGGGAGTTCTGAATGCCTCTGTTCACTGCAGCCCTTGTCAAAAGTTCCTCCCTCCGTCACTGCAGGTTATAAGACCCTCCTCAAGTGCCTATCAGGTAAATTCTGCCGCCGGGAGCTAATTGGCATCATGGGTCCCTCAGGGGCTGGCAAGTCCACACTCATGAACATCTTGGCGGGATACAGGTGAGGACAAGGCTGGGGCGGAATAGGGGCAGGACCCAGGAAGAAGGAACCTCGGGGAGCACAGGAGGTGTTGTTCTGCAGTAGTCTTGACACCCATCCCCCCCCACCCCCCACCCCCGTTCCTGCAGGGAGTCTGGGATGAAGGGGCAGATCCTGGTCAACGGGAGGCTGCGGGAACTGAGGACCTTCCGCAAGATGTCCTGCTACATCATGCAGGACGACATGCTGCTGCCACACCTCACGGTGTTGGAAGCGATGATGGTGAGGGCTGGTGGCCACTTCCTCCCAGTCACCCCTCTGTTCCCACTGCTGCCCCGTCGTCCTCGTTGGCTAAGGGTCACGGCAGTGGCCTCTCTCACACGTAGCTGACCTGCCTGTGCTCTGGGCCCCAGGTGTCTGCTAACCTGAAGCTGAGCGAGAAGCAAGAGGTGAAGAAGGAGCTGGTGAGTGGGGAGGGGGAGGGTAGAAATGGGGCAGCCCTCCTTTTCGGTGCCACTGAGTTCTGGGGCTCTGGGCTGAGGAGTGGGCAGGGGTGTCCAAGGCTGGCACACTGGACATAAGGGAGATGCTTATTTACGTCGGGGTGGCACACAGGGAAGCAGAGCCTGAGAAGCTGATCCGAGGTTGGGGTGGGGCTGGGGCAGGTGACGGAGATCCTGACAGCACTGGGCCTGATGTCCTGCTCCCACACGAGGACAGCCCTGCTCTCCGGCGGGCAGAGGAAGCGCCTGGCCATCGCCCTGGAGCTGGTCAACAACCCACCTGTCATGTTCTTCGATGAGCCCACCAGGTAGGTCTCCCCCTTCCTGGGCCCTGAACCAGGCTGGAGGCTGCATCTGGTCCCCTGCTGGAGACCAGAGCCTGTGTCCTCAGCCTCCTGGGGCCAGGATCAGGGCGTCCTCCTCATCCCAGTCCTGCCAACCCCGTGGCTGCCGCAGCCCCACCCCTCACACAGGCAGAAGTCCCAATGCCCCCCGACGGACCCCTCCCTGTCCTCTCCCCACGGCCAATCAGTCACCACGTCCTGCAGATGCTCTCCTTTGGCCATCTCTCAGATTCCACCCACCCCATCCCTAGTGCCAGCACTAAGCTCAGGGCATCATCAACTCTTGCCTGCATTTCTGCAGCGGACTCCTCCCCCTCCTCTCCAGTCTCCCAGACACCCCTTCCTCCACGCAGCCACCAGGAGGAACTTTCTAGGAGACAAGTCTGGCAGTACTCACTCCGCTACTGAAAAACACGTATCGCCCTGGCCGGTTTGGCTCAGCGGTTAGAGCGTCGGCCTGCGGTCCGGAGAGACCCGGGTTCGGTTCCCGCTAAGGGCACGTACCTCGGTTGCGGTTTGTCCCCGGCCCTGGTGGGTCGTGCGGGTGGCAGCCACTCGATGTGGCCCTTGCACATCGATGTTTCCCTCTCTCTCTCTTCCTCTCTCTCCCTCCCACTCCGTCTGTACAAAAAATGGAAAATGTCCTCGGATGAGGATTAAAAAAAAAAAGAAGAAAAACACGTATCGATGCCCTCAGAATCAATCAGAGGATTTACAGAGTGCTGCCCTGACCTCATATCTTGCTTCCCGCTGGCTTGTAGGTTATGCTCTAATAATATCGAATTGCTTATAGTTCCTCCACCAAGCCGTGGTTTCGTGCCTCCAGGCTCCGCACACGCGGTGTCCGCCCAGAGCGCCCTCGGCATGGTGCCCGCCTTCCCACCTTGACCCGGCTTAGCGCTTTCTCCTCCCCGACTCGCTCAGGAACCTCCTCTGGTACAGGAGGGCGGAATCCTCCTCCTCTCTCTCCAGCGTGTCCCGTGCGACTGTAAAGGATCCGTGCACGTCCCGCTCCCTCTAGACCTCGAGTCTGTGTCTTCTTTATTCGCATCGTAACCCCAGTGTCTAGCTTCCAGAAGGTGCTCAGTGTACGCTTGTTAAACTGAACAGTGCTCTGGGCTTCTTGATGCCTCCAAATGCCCGAATCATAGTGTGTACAGGATATAGGGGTGGCCAGAGGGGCCCCTTCCTGCCAGCTCCAGCCCCGGTACAGTAGCTGTCCCACCCCAAACACTTCCTTCTCTTGGCTCTGCCCACATCACCCCACCCCCTGCTGGCCTCTCTCTGGACAGTGGTCTGGACAGCGCCTCCTGTTTCCAAGTGGTGTCCCTCATGAAGTCCCTGGCCCAGGGAGGCCGAACCATCATCTGCACCATCCACCAGCCCAGTGCCAAGCTCTTTGAGATGTTTGACAAGGTGAGCGTCTCTGGTCCTCAGAGACGACCGGACTGAGATGGGGGAGGGAAGGCTCCGTCGCGGTGCTGGTGGCCTGCCTGGCCCACGGTCTTGTTTTCCTCGCTCTCCTCTGTCCGCCTCAGCTCTACATCCTGAGTCAGGGCCAGTGCATCTTCAAGGGCACGGTCACCAGGCTGATCCCCTACTTGAAGGGCCTTGGCTTGCACTGTCCGACCTACCACAACCCCGCCGACTTCAGTGAGTGGGGCCTGCCGGGAGGGCCGGGGGCGGAACTGGGGGCTTGGGTCACGGCGTTGGCCTTCAGCAGACATCCAAGGGGGGCTGCCGGCCCTTGGGGACGAAGGATAGACCTCAGCTGAGCACCCTGCTGTGTCCCCAGTCATTGAGGTGGCCTCCGGCGAGTACGGGGACCTGAACCCCATGCTGTTCCGGGCTGTGCAGAAGGGGCTGTGTGCCATGACCGAGGAGAAGGGCAGCCTGGAGAAGAACGAGGTCTCCAGCCCCTGCCCCCCTTGCCGCCCGGTGAGTGGGGTGAAGAGGGAAAAGAGTTCGAGTGGGGGAGGAAGAGGGGACCTGAGCCTGGCCCTGTGGAGGAGGCTGTCACTCAGGGGTATCAGCCATGGGTACGAGGGAGAACCCCCCCACTGTTACCAGCTGTGTGACTTTGGGCGCCTTAGTTAGCTGCTTGGAGCGTCTGCTCTCGTTCATTTATCCCTTCGGTGGGTTTTTGCCGACCGTCTGTAGGGTATTGTCCCCGGTGCCAGCCCTGTGCCACCTGGTAGGCTAGACGGACGCTGTCCCCAGCCTTGTGGCCGGCGTGGCTTCCTGTGCTCTCCACCTGGAGGTGAGGGTCCCAGGCGCAGGGCATCAGGATGGCTGAGACCATGTCGGAGAGCTCGGCCCTGGAGCTGGTGACACGGGTCCGCTCACCGCCGCTCGCCACCTTCATGAGATGCCGGGACCCTGGGAAGCAGGACCTGCTACTTCGTAGTCATCACGATCATTGTTCCGTGACGTGACTGTGAACGGTGGTGGCACGAAGGGTCGACGTTTCCCAACGGATTGAAGAGAAGAGGGGCTGACCCCGCTCTAAGGGGTGCCCTTCACCCCTCTGTCTCCTCCCTCCCAAGCATTCTCCCTGCCCGCGTCTCCGTGTCTCGTCCGATTCACACCCAGAGGCCAGCGTCCAGGCCCACGGCCCGATGGGGACGACGTCGCCTTCTGCAGACCTGGAGGACGCCTGCCCCGGGGTCCTCCATCCCTGGGCTGGGGGTGTGGGGTGTGGGTGAGCTCACCTGGTCCAATCTCCTCGCCGCAGGAAGTGGATCCCATTGAAAGCCACACCTTCGCCACGAGCACCCTCACCCAGTTCTGCATCCTCTTCAAGAGGACCTTCCTGTCCATCCTCAGGGACACGGTGAGGCGTCCAGTTGGGGGAGAGGAGGGTGGCACCGGCCTAGCCTTTTGGGGCAGAGGGTCCCAGCGGCGCCCCACCCCCACCCGCAGTGCACCTCTGGGTCTGTGTGCCTGGGAGGGCCGCCCCAGCGTGGCCGCCCGCCGGTTCCCAGCCGGTGACCCTGTGACCCTGTGACGCCGGCACACAGGTCCTGACTCACCTGCGGTTCACGTCCCACGTGGTGATCGGCGTGCTCATCGGCCTCCTGTACCTGCACATCGGCGACGACGCCGACAAGGTCTTCAACAACACCGGCTGCCTCTTCTTCTCCATGCTGTTCCTCATGTTCGCGGCTCTCATGCCCACCGTGCTGACCTGTGAGCTGAGCTGCCGGGCGGGGCGGGGGGGCGGGCGGGCCGGGCGCCTCATCTGCGTGTGTGCTCAGTCCCCTTAGAGATGGCAGTCTTCATGCGAGAGCATCTCAACTACTGGTACAGCCTCAAGGCGTACTACCTGGCCAAGACCATGGCCGACGTGCCCTTCCAGGTGAGCCCCTCCTCCCGCCTGCCGCCGCTCCCGGTCCGGCTGCTCCCATAGTGCTCTGCCCCCTCAGCCGCCACCTGCCCTCTTTCCCTTTCTGTCTGCTCGCTTAGAAAGCAGCTGGTGAGCACCTGCCATGCACCAGCCTGGCGCTAGGCAGGGACACAGTGGAGACAAGACGGAGAGTCTCACCCTTGTGGGACTGTGTAGTGGGAACAACTGATGACAAACAGAAAATGATCAAAATAATAACCCTACACGTGACTGTACATCTCATTTATGTATTTAATTTTACTATTAAAACAAATTTTGTTCCTTGTGTTGATTCGAGAGGGAGAAGAAGGGAGAGGGAGAGAGAGATAGAAACACGGATGAGAGAGAACATGGACTGGCCGCCTCCTGCACGCCCCCCACTGGGGATCGGGCCCACAACCTGGGCATGTGCCCTGACTGGGAATCGAACCGGAGACCTCTTGATGCAGGGTCAACAGCCACTGAGCCACACCGGCCGGGCTGTAAATCTGATTTAAAGCCGTAGAGAACGGTGTAGACTCTGGGGCCTCACTGCCACTGGTCAGCTGTCCTTGCCCTTCAGGAGTTAATGACTCGTAGGGGAACAACACACATATGTAGAGTTCATTAGCGAACAAAACCAGGAATAGGCTGGTCCAGGCGGGAAGGACTTGGAGAGCCCAGAAGGTGAAGAAGTCACCACACCTAGGCTGGTCAGAGGGGCCCCAGTGGCACTGGAAGAGGGATGTGTTTCGTGTGGCCGGGAGGACGGGCATGCGACCTGGGGCTGGGCAGCAGGCACAGGAGTGTGACGTCAGGACTAGTCATGAGCACCGTCGGGACGGCTGACCCAGAGGCCCCGCCGGGGTGAAGCGGAGGGTTTGGCTGCCGGGCCCGGGCTCACAGCCCGCTGCCCAGCCCTGTGCCACCCCCCAGGTGATGTGCCCAGTGGTGTATTGCAGCATCGTGTACTGGATGACAGGCCAGCCCGCTGAGACCAGCCGCTTCCTGCTCTTCTCGGCCCTGGCCACGGCCACGGCCTTGGTGGCCCAGTCTTTGGGGCTGCTCATTGGCGCCGCCTCCAACTCCCTGCAGGTGGGAAGACTGGCACTTGGGGACCCCCGAGGAGGGAGGGAGCAGGGGCTGGCATAAGGAGCGGGAGAGATCTGTGGGGAACCTTGGGGCCACCCCTGTCCTGGGTCTGTCCTGGGCACGCCTGTGATGGCCCGGTCCCCTTCCCTCCCCTCCAGGTGGCCACGTTTGTGGGCCCAGTGACCGCCATCCCTGTCCTCTTGTTCTCCGGTTTCTTTGTCAGCTTCAAGACCATCCCCACGTACCTGCAGTGGAGCTCCTACCTCTCCTATGTCAGGTCAGTGCGGCCCCCGCCACCTGCCCCTGCTGCTGCTGCAGGAGGCCAGGCCCTGGGCGACAGGTGCACCTGGGCTCTGGCCGCGCGCCCAGGGCGCAGGGACCCTGCACTCCGTGCCTGCCCTGATGCCCCTGCTTGCCTAGGTACGGCTTCGAGGGCGTGATTCTCACCATCTACGGCATGGAGCGAGGGGACCTGACCTGCTCGGAGGAGCGCTGCCCGTTCCGGGAGCCGCAGAGCATACTCCGCGCGCTGGATGTGGAGGATGCCAAGCTCTACATGGACTTCCTGGTCCTGGGCATCTTCTTCCTGGCCCTGCGGCTGCTGGCGTATCTTGTGCTCCGCTACCGGGTCAAGTCGGAGAGATAGAGCCGCGCCTGGGCCTGTGCCAGCCCCCGCCGCCGGAAGCCCCCGCCCCAGCCCTCTGGGGCTGTTTTAACCTTGTGGACTTGGGCACTGGTTCCTGGTGCACCGCTGCCCCCATCAGCTCTTCCAGGGGCTGTCTGTCTGTCTGTCTGTCTGTGCTCCCAGCCTTGGCCCTTGGAGTGAGGGCTGCAGCCCTCCCTGCCGCGCCCAGGAGTCTTCCCGGGTAGAAGTGGTTTGTCCCTTCCTCCCTTGTCTCTCCGACACCCGCATGCGAACACCATTCGAAGGCTGCCACCCCCTTCCTGCCCTTGGTGCCCTCCTCTGTTGTCTGCCGGGAGCCCTGGGCTCTCCAGGCTCCCAAGTCCAACTAACCAAAGTGGCCCCCTCTGGGGTTCCCAACCACCTACGTGTTTGTAGACTGAGCAGTGAGAAGGTTGGGACTCAGGGCTGGGCCCTGGTGGGTCCCTGGAGGTTTCCTTTGGACACTGGAATGCAGTGGGGAAGGACTCTGGAGTCTCCTTCTCCTCACCCCCCAAGCCCAGACCCTCGCTGGTCTGGACAGTCTGCTGGTACAGAAGCTGGGTTTCTGTCTGGGTCACCCTCCCAACCCCGGAGCCCTGGGAGGCAGCTTCCCAGCGCCTTCGCGGGGGCGGCTGGGGCTCCTCTGCAATAATGTCTGTTTCTCCCCCACCTGCCACGGGGCCGGAGAATGCACTTTACTCGGGGGGTGAGTGGGAGAAGACCGCCTCCTTTCTCGTGCTCCTATGCAGGCCCTCAACGCCCCCTCCCTTCTCAGGAGTTACACGCGAACCTGCAATCTCAGCCCACACGCCTCGCTGTCCCCGATGGCTCGGAGGAAGGGTGCATGGTGGTGGGTGCTGCGGGGGGGCAGTGCCAACTCCTCCGGGGCACCTCGCTTTGCCCGGAAGGGCGAGGCTGGTGCTGTCCCGGGCATCTCCCGGATTGGTCGATGTCTGCCCCCTTCTTCCTTCCAGCCAGGGGTGCACAGGGCATCGGTTCCCTGGTGTTCAGGACCAGACTAAGCACAAGCGCGAGCATCAGGGGCCTTGGCCACTGCCCCGCCCTTCTTGTGTGTGGAGCTCCACCCCTCCCCCTCCGTTTGCTGCTCATTCGAACCCTTGTCCACATCTCTGCCCCCTTCCCATCAACCGTCTGGCTTTCCTGGGGGGTCCAGGCTCATGCCCCTTCCCTGGGGTTCTTCTCCTTTATTGCTGAGCACCTGCCTCTCTGCCCACCCCCACCCCGCCACGGATTTCCCCCTCACGCGGAGACGCCAGTTGTCTTTGTGGGATTTCACCCATTATTAATAAAACCTATATTTATACAGTATGCGGCCTGTGAGCGTGGGCGGGTCTGAAACCCGATACCGTGGGCTGTCAGGCTTCTTCACAATACTTGGCAAGAAGTCCGAGCTTCAGGGAGTCTGGGGGGGGGGGGGCGCGTCCTAGGTGTATATCAAGCTCGTAATGTGTATCTTTTTTTTTTTTTTAACATATTTTTATTGATTGTTTTAGAGGGAGAGGAAGGGAGAGATAGAAACATCCATGTGAGAGAGAAACACTGATCAGCTGCCTCCTGCATGCCCCCCACTGGGGACTGAGCCCGCAGCCCTGACATGTGCCCTGACCGGGAATCGAACCGGGACCTCAGTCCATGGGACGACGCTCACTCCACTGAGCCACACCAGCCGGCCATACATGTGTATCTTATGAAATATCTATATCATGGTTTACATCTCACAAATGCTTCGTGTTTAGTATCTCAAGGGAGTCCCACGGCAATCCTGCCTCATTGCTCATGACAACCCATTTTGCAAATGGGAGAACTGAGACTTGGATGAAATCACTTGTCCGAGGACCCTTAGCTAGTGGAGACGGAACCAGGTCTGGGAAGCAGATCCTCTGCCTCGAGACCACCCTTTACGTGGACCAACGCCACTGTTCACGTGGACCTGGGATCGTGTGGGTGCCCTGTGTCTGCTACCAGACTGTTACCGGGCTTTCTCTTCCAAACTGGCTGAGTCCTGCTGGTGCCTGCGGGGCGGGGCTGGGGGCGGGGTCAGTGGTCACCGAGAGCCAGGAGGAGCAGGAAACACCCTGAGCCCTAGGATGACAGCAGCAGAAATCTCACACTGAGCTCACCCCCGTTCCCCTTCTTTCCCCATGGGCCACCCTTCCCAGGGCTGAGCACCCGCCCCCAGGACTGCAGATGGGGGTGGCAGATGGGTGTGGCAGTCTGAGGCTCAGAGTAGGCAGCCGTCCAGAAGTTCTCGAGGGCTGGTGGCAGGACGGCGGGAAATAGCTCCTTATCTCCCCCACTTCCCCGCTGACCCCGACGCTTGGGGACTGGAGGAGACTGGCGCCAACTTGGCCAGCTGCCTGGACCACCTCGGGGTCACATGACAGCTAACTGCCTGGGACTAAATGAGGGTCCAGCCTAGGACCAATGGGGTGCCTGCCTGGAGGTGGAGTGACTGTTTCTCATGGGGGCAGAGGGTGGGAAATGGAAAAAGATCCAACTCCTGAAATTAGCTGTAAGGGCATTCTATTGTTTTTATTTTATTTATTTATTTTATTATTTTATTTTTTATCCTCACCCGAGGACATTTTTCCATTTTTTGTTCAGATAGAGCAGGAGGGAGAGAGAGAGAGAGAAACATCGACGTGAAAGGGACACATCGAGTGGCTGCCACCCGCACGACCAACCAGGGCCGGGGACAAACTGCAACCGAGGTACATGCCCTTAGTGGGAACCGAACCCGGGTCTCTCTGGACCGCAGGCCGACGCTCCAATCGCTGAGCCAAACCGGCCAGGGCTGTTTTTAAATATTTTGTCTTTTTATTGATTTTAGAGAGAGAGGAAGGGAGAGGGAGAGAGAGATAGAAAGATCAACGAGAGAGAACATCAATTGGCCGCCTCCTGCATGCCCCCCACTGAGGATCAGGCCCACAACCTGGGCATGTGCCCTGACTGGGAATCGAACCGGTGACCTCTTGGTGCATGGGTCAACACTCAACCACTGAGCCACACTGGTCAGGCTAGATTCTTTATCTTTCTCTTTTAAAATGTAAATACCCCTGCCTGGCCGGTGTGACTCAGTAGACTGAGTGTTGTCCCATGGACTGAGAGGTCCTGGTTTGATTCCTGGTCAGGGCACTCTCCCGGTTCATGGGCTCAATCCCCAGTGGGGGGGCATGCAGAAGGTGGCCAATAGATGTTTCTCTCTCACATGGATGTTTCTATCTGCTCTCCCTTCCTCTCTCTAAAAATCAATAAGACATATTAAAAAAATAAAAAATAATAAAATGCAAACACCCCTGAAAGACTGAAACACTTATAAATTCACACATTTGTACAATCCCTTGGTTGCTAAGGAGATGAACAGCCAATCTAGAACCAGCAGAGGCCAGTCAAGGGCAGACAACACTTGTGAGTGGATCCCATGTTTGCAAAGAAAGCTCTTTTGACTCTTGCAAGCCCGTGCGGATGTTAGGATGCGTGCTCTCATTTCCCCCTTTTACAGAGAAGGGAACGGGAACCAAGGCTTGGAGAAGTGACTTGAGCAAGCGCTCAAGATACGGCGCTCTTGTTCCTGGGACACACCTGTGATTTCTCCCACCGGTCCCAGCAACCTGCAGAGGTGGGGAGTAAATGCCCCTGCCCATCCCAGCAGGTTTTGAACTGGGCCTGCGCACCCTGAGTGTCAACCTCCCTGGACTTGGAGACCATCTTCCTCAACACCACCACCTCTGCATCAGGGCTGGTGCAAGGTTTTGCAGGGCAGAGATGTCTCCAGGTTTTGCAGGGCAGAGATGTCTCCAGGTTTTGCAGGGCAGAGATGTCTCCAGGTTTTGCAGGGCAGAGATGTCTCCAGGTTTTGCAGGGAAGAGATGTCTCATGGTTTTGCAGGGCAGAGATGTCTCAAGGTTTTGCAGGGCAGAGATGTCTCAAGGTTTTGCAGGGAAGAGATGTCTCATGGATTTACAGGGCAGAGATGTCTCAAGGTTTTGCAGGGCAGAGGTGTCTCAAGGTTTTGCAGGGCAGAGGTGTCTCATGGATTTACAGGGCAGAGATGACCCGCACTGCTCTCTATCAGATGGCTCTACAGCACCTGGTGCCCCATCCTGAGGTCAGATGACAGAGCACATGCCCCCAGCAGGACTCAGAGTATTCTATTCTACAAAAGGCCAGTCAAACCATGTTACTAAAAGGCCTACATGGGCCCTGGCCGGTTTGGCTCAGTGGTTAGAGCGTCGGCCCATGGACCAAAAGTCCCAGGTTCAGTTCCCACTAAGGGCAGGTACCTTGGTTGCAATTTGTCCCCCGGCCCCTGTTGGGGTCGTGTGGGTGGCGGCCACTCCATGTGTCTCTCTCACATTGATGTTTCTCTCTCTCTCTTCCTCCCGCTCTATCTAAAGATAAAAGAGAAAAAAAGCCTACATAGCTCTGGCCAGTTTAGCTCAGTGGTTAGAGTGTCAGCCCACAGACGAAAGAGTCACAGATTCGATTCCGGTCAAGGGCACGTACCTCGGTTGTGGTTCATCCCCGGCCCTGGCCAGGTCATGCGGGAGACAACCAGTTGATGTGGGTCTCTCCCATTGATGTTTCTCTCTGTCTCTCTCTCTCTCTCACTCCCACTCTATCTGATGATAAATGGGAAAGTATTCTTGGGTAAGAAATATAATAATAATAATAATAATAATAAACCTACATGACTGTATACCCTGGGTGGTACGGGATGAACAGCTAGCTCCGAGCTGTGCCAGCAACTGCGGCCAGGGGCCTACCTGCTTGGCATGACTAGGTCAGTGGGGAAAAGCTAGAGGAGTCTCTGAGGACCAAAATGTCTTGTCTGAGACCACATCATAGGGCTGCTCTATTTTCCTCTCCTAGCCCTTTCTAACGCCCCTTTCAGAACATCCCTTAGAATGCAGGGCCTTAGCCTCCTCGGACTACTTTTTTTTTTTTTTGTGGTACGTGCCCCTAGCGGGAACCGAACCCAGGATTCTCTGGTCTTCAGGTCGATGCTCAACCGCTGAGCCAAACTGGCCAGGGCAGACTTCTTTCTTTCTTTTTAAAAATGTTTTTATTGATTTTTAGACAGACAGGGAGAGAGAGAGAGAAGCATTGATGTGAGAGAGAAACATCAATCGGCTGCCTCCTGCACGACCCCTACCGGGGATCGAGCCCATAACCTGGGCATCGAGCCCATAACCTGGGCATGTGCCCTGATTGGGAATCCAACCCGGACCTCTCAGTCCATGTTTGATGCTCAATCCACTGAGCCAAACCAGCTGAACAACCTGAACTTCTTTCTTTAAAAATTAAAAAAAAAACAAAAAACTTTATTGATTTTAGAGAGAAAAGAAAAGAGAGGGGGAGAGAGAGATAGAGACATTGATGAGAGAGAACATCGATAGGCCACCTCCTGCATGCCCCCCACTGGGGATCAGGCCCACAACCTGGGCATGTGCCCTGACTGGGAATGGAACAGATGATCTCTTGGTGCAGGGTCATGTTCAACCACTGAGCCACCTGGCCAGGCTGGACTTCTTTCCTAAGATCCAGCTCAACTGTCACCTCCTCTGCCAGAGGCAGTCAGTAACTGTCCCCCAGTCAGTAACTGTCCCCCAGTAACTAGGCCTCTGTCTACCTCTGAAGTACCGTCATTCTGGTCCCCGGAGGGGAGCTGCCAGGGTGCCTGATCCCTTCATGCCCTGTTTGGGCCGCTCACTCCTGCCCCAATGCCACGGGGTTGTAAGTGAAGTATCAACACTGTCTTCAGTCGGGACGGAGGGCAGAGGCCTCACAGCCCTGCGTGGGAAACTGTGTGCCCCCCGCGGCACACCTGTCGGCCTGCGGAGGCCAGTCCCGGCTGTGGGTGGTGGCGGCTGCTCCAGCAGTTGCTGAGGCCCTGGGTGTGCCTTGCATGGACGTGCAGCGGGGAGGGTGGGGGCTCTGGGGACCAGGAAGCCGGAGGGCGAGGCCGTGACTGGTGTCAGACAAGAAGAGCAGGTTGGGGAGGAGGCTGTTGGTTTCTCTGTCCCCATTCTCCCTCCTCCCTTGACCCAAGTGACCAGAAGCCACACCCAGAGGTCTGGGGTCTCAGAGCCACGCACAGAAGGAAGAACCCAAGGAGACCTTGCCTCGGGGCTCTGGCAGGAGGTGCCACCGAGGGAGGAACGCCTTGGGCCCGGCCGGGTGCCGCCGGGAGGCTCAGGGGTGAGCTAGGAGCCCCCGGCCCCCTATTCCTGGTCTGACGCGTCCGCTTCCTAACTGGATGAACCCGCGGTTCCCGTCTGTAGAGTGGGCATCACGCGCCCGCCTGGGAGGGTCAGTGAGGTCGCTGGATGGCGTGGCGCTCGGTGACCTGCAGAGGGCAGAGCTAGCAGCGGGCCGCCCGGACGGAAGGCGGTCCCCCAGGGGGCAGGGACGGCGCAGGGCGGATGGGGAAGTCCCCGCCCCGAGCCCGCTGCGGGGCTCCCGGCCCCTCTCGCTGTCCCCCTGCCCCGGGACCCCGAGGGCCCCGAGCGCCCCGAGCGCCCTCTCCCGTGCCCGCTGCCAGGCTGGCCGGCACGAGGCGCTGCGCCCGCGCCTCCCGGAACGAGCGGGGACACCGGATGGCGACGGGCTCCCGGGGCGACGGCCTAGTGGGTGGAACGCGGGGCCGGGGCGGGGCCGGGGCGGGCGGGGTCGCGGGGCGGAGCCTGGGCGGGCGGGGTCGCGGGGGCGGGGCTGCGCAAGTACCGCCGGGAGCTCGCGGCGCCGGGACCCGCGGGACGCAGCGGCCTCGCCGTGGTGGGTGGGCTCCGGGCGGCTGTCCCGTGCGGGCGTCCGGCCAGCGGGGCTAGGAGCGCGTCTGGGGCCCGGCGTGGGGGAGGCCTCTGGACCCGCGGGTGTGCCCCTCCTGCCCTGGAGTCCGGGGGGACCTTGGGAGGATGGCCCGCAGCAGCACCCCACCCCTTCCGCGAGCCCCTTCTCGGGCCACTGGCCCCGGACGTGATCTTGTTGCACCGAGCTCGTCCCTCCGAGCGTCCCCAGCTCTCCAGGGCCCTGCCCTAACCCTCTCCAGCGCCGGGTTGGCACTGCCGGCGGTGGGCCTGGCGCCGCCCGTTCTCCCCGAGTGTGCCCAGCCCGAAAGGAACCCCGTCTCCGGAAATCAGCTCCCCACGGAGCGGCTGGCTCCCTAAGAGCGCTCAGAGGGGCCGGGGGAGACGTCCCGGAGCCAGGGCCCCCGGGCAGGGTCTGAAGATCGGGTGGGACTCTGGCAGGGGAGCGGCCTCTCTGAGCTGAAGAAAGTGTAGGAACAGTTCGGAGAGCGAGCGAGAATCCGGGGAGCCCCGCAAAGGAGGTGTGGGGTACGGCAAACCCCGCAGAACAGCTCGCGTGGGCCAGGTGTTTGTACTCTGTAACCTAGGACTTTGAGGAGGCGTTTGGTGGCTGGGATGAGGGATTGGAATGAGATGAGGCTGAGGACCGAGGCCAGCAAGGGGAAGGGGTCCCTGGAAGTCTGCAGAGGGTCTGAGCGCTGGGACAATGCAATAGGACCAGGCTGGCCAAACTGGGAGGAGGGTCAGTAGGGCTGTCTCCACCGTGGAGGAGGAGCGAGGAGGACTGGAAGATAAGGAGGTCAGATTTCCAGTGTAAATCGCAGCTGGAACATTCGCAGTGAAGTAACTGAAGGGAGAGGAATGATTACTTCAGTTTTGCGTGTGTGAAGCTTGAAGCATGGTCAGGATATCCCCAGAGAGATGTCAAGTAGGAAGTTCATTCATTGATTGATCATTTATACCAGCCTCAAAGGCAGCTTAGATAAAAGTCACAGAGACGATAAAATGATAAAACTGAAAACTCCGCTAACAGGACGGGATTCCTAGGGACAACAGGCAGAGGGGAATGGATGATTATTGCGGAAAGAGCATTGGCTCAGGAAAGCCACTGAAAAGGAACACAGGACTCATCTGAGCTTGCTGGTAGCCAAGCCAGAAAAAGGACACCTAAATAAAACCATTCACTAGGCTGAGACTCTGGAGAAAGACATTCCTGGACTCCAGGAGGAGAGGCACTAGGCGGTAGGAGATAAAACACGATCACTCAGGTGGGGGATATAGAAGAGGGAGGGGATTTGAAGGCCAGGCCAGGGCTTTGGCAGTGCTGACATTTTTTTTTTTTTAATTAATTAATTTATTTTTGTTACAGATGTTTCTCCTTTTCCCCCCACTGATTCCCCACTCCTCCTCCCTCCCTGCCCTGTCCCCAGCTTTGTTGTCCATGTCCATTGTTCATGCGTGCATGCATATAAGTTCTGTGATTTATCTCTCCCCCACCACCCCCTCTTCTGGGGATTGTCAGTCTGTACCCCACTTCCATGTCTCTGGGACTATCCCATTCCTCAGACTGTTATGTTCATTATATTCCACAAATAAGTGAGATCATATGATTCTTGTCTTTCTCTGTTTGGCTTGTTTCTCTTAGGATAATACGTTCCAGGTCCCTCCATGTCGTCTCAAAGGATAAGAGATCTTTCTTTCTTACAGCTGCGTAGTACTCCATTGTGTACATGTGCCACAGCTTTTTTATCCATTCGTCTACTGATGGACACGTGGGCTGTTTCCAGATCTTAGCGATTGTAAATAGTGCTGCTACAAACATATATTCTTTCTGATTGGCGGCAGTGCTGAGAGGCTGATGCTGTCCTGAGGAAGAAGACCGTCCTTGGCCTGCACCGGGAGGCGGAAGTGGGAAGGGGTCTGTGTGTGTGTGGTCCGTTCACACCATTCCTTTTGCAGGGGAACAGGATAGAAGGTGGTGTGCCAACCCCCCGGGCTCTGACCTTCTCTTCTACCATGAGGTGGAGCTACCGTTTGCGCAGGGCCTTCTGGGGTCCCGGCCTGGGACCAGCACGGCAGCCAGCAGGTGAGCAGGGGTTTCTGTTTCTACCTCACCCTTCCAGGTGCCTCCGAGAGGGCAGGGCTCCAGACACCAGGTGTGCTAGCAGCTCCCTGATTCACTGACTGCTGGCTTCGGGCAAGTCGCCTCATCTCTCCGAGGTCCCTTTTCCCACCCTAAAACAAGGGCGTCAGACTCGATGATCTCTGACGGTCCCTGTCGCCACACCAGCCCAGGGACACTTGTCTGACTTCATCCCGCATTCAGCAGCTATTTCCTGAATGCCTGCTGTGTGCCGAGTAGATAACCGTGTCAGTTCTGAGTGTATCACTGTGCACAGAGCAGATGGGCCCCTGCTGTCATGGTGAGGACGGAGGTGGAAATGATGCTAATCCAATAACCACAATAAAGTACAAAATCGCGTAATAGCTGTCACAAGGGCTATAAGGGCAAAGGGGGGGGGGTGATGCAGACGTGGGGCCTGTGTATTGGGGGGGAAACGTGGGTGGGATCTGGATGCTGTTTCTTCCTTCTCCTTTCTCTCTGTAGATGAAAGTATCCCCTTCGTGATCCACTGGAATTGGGCACTCAAAGGGCAGTGTCCCCGTGGGCCCCCTAGGTGAGGCCTTGTGTCCTACCTCAGACTATATCTGGGCGTAGCAGAGTAGCCTGGGACGGGTCGGGACTTGGAGAGAGCTTGGAGCTCTGCTGGAGTTGGGGAGCCACAGTCAGTGACCAGGCTTAAGGGGAAGTTGGGTTACGCCGTCACAGTGCAAGTCACAGTGGTCAGCCAAGGAGAGGGTCTGTGGGAGGTGGGCGGAGTGTGGTAGTGACCAGCTGAGTTCCAGACCGGGGGCTGGAGGGCCGGGGATGAGCCCTCAGTTCCTGGGAAGGCGGAGAGCCAGTCTCGAGGTGGGCGTCCAGGGCGGGCCTGGACCTCAGGAAGCCAGCAGTTCGTCATCCCCAGCAGGCCTGGACCGTGAGCCTGTGCAGTCCCTGGCTCATCCCTTCTCTTTGCTCCCAGGGTCTTTATCCGCCACTATGGAAGCTCAGTGGGCAGTGTTCCCCCACCAGGGAAGCACGAACGGTTGTTCCGGAACATCTCTACAGCTGGTAAAAGATTGGTTCTTCAGTCAGTCTGAGAAAGGGGCTGGCTGGCATCCCAGAGGGGGCTGGGCTGGGGAGAAGCAGGCAGGAAGAGAGAGACACAGAGGACCCACTGACGTCATCCATCAGCAGCCTCCCCTCCCTCGCCCCATAAGCCATCTGTCCACGTGTCCCTTCTTGCAACACTTGTGCACACTGTGTACCAAGCCCTGGGAGGGACGTACCATCCCTACCTTCTAGAACTGGGTCTAGAACGCAGGTAAAGACATAACCGTGAGACCAGCCAGCCTGGGCTCGATCAACATCACTCATCCCGTGGTTCCCACTTCCTGCCACAGGGCTTCCAAACTCCTGGGCACTTCGTACTTCCTGAGGGAGTCCTGTGTGCCCAGCACTCTGCTGGGCCCCTGCTGCTGCTGGTGCTGGCTTGGCCTGCAGCCTGCCCCTGCTCCCGCCCTGGCTGGCCCTGGGCCCCTGCATCTCCCCGCCCCTTTCCCTGGCCATTCTCTTTGCCTTCCCTCCAGAAGCCATCCAGCGGCACCGCCGGAACCTGGCGGAGTGGTTCAGCCGGCTGCCCAGGGAGGAGCGCCAGTTTGGCCCCACCTTTGCACTAGACACGGTCCACGTGGACCCTGTGATCTGTGAGAGCACCCCCGACGAGCTTCTGCGCCCGTCTTCGGAGCTGGCCCTGGACCATCAGCCGCCCCCGGCCAGGCTCCCCACGCTGGCCCTGTCTCAGCTCTTTGACCCAGATGCCTGTGGGCGCCGGGTCCAGACTGTGGTTCTGTACGGGACCGTGGGCACAGGCAAGAGCACGCTGGTGCGCAAGATGGTCCTGGACTGGTGTTACGGGCGGCTGCCAGCCTTCGAGCTGCTCATCCCCTTCTCCTGTGAGGACCTGTCATCCCTGGGCTCTGCCCCGGCCTCCTTGTGCCAACTTGTGGCCCAGCGCTACACACCCCTGAAGGAGATTCTGCCGCTCATGGCCGCAGCGGGGTCTCGCCTGCTGGTCGTGCTCCACGGCTTGGAGCGTCTCAACCTGGACTTCCGGCTGGCCGCCACAGGGCTTTGCGGTGACCCCGAGAAGCCAGAGGCACCAGCTACCATCGTCGTCAATCTGCTGCGCAAATACATGCTGCCCGAGGTAGGTGGCCCTGTGCCCCTCCCTGCCACCTCTGTCCATGTGAGTTTTTGTGTTTACTTATTGGGTGGGAGAGGCCCTGGGCTAGTTCAACTCCTGGCCCCACCACTTCCCTGCCGTGTGTCTGAGAAAGTCACCAACTTCCCCATCTTCTGTTTTCTTTTCTTCTTGAGTTGTGCTGATCAAATGAGATACTACAGCTGCTGGACGGCTTGGCACAGTGCACCGGCTCCTAGTAGGTGTGCAGGAATTGTCGTAGTTATTGCAGTCATCGTCATTTTCAGCCTTGGACACTCGATCATCAGCCGCTCCCTGGCGAGTGAGGCAGTCAGGGCAATCGCGAGGTCTTTTTTAACCCTCAGCCATGCTCTTCCAGGCCAGCATCCTGGTGACCACCCGGCCGTCTGCCGTTGGCCGCATTCCCAGCAAGTACGTGGGCCGCTACGGCGAGATCTGCGGCTTCTCCGACACCAACCTGCAGAAGCTCTACTTCCAGCTCCGCCTCAATCAGCCGGACTGCGGACACGGCGCCGGGGGTGCGGGTGTCCCAGCCACTCCGGCCCAGCGTGACAACCTGGTGGAGATGCTGTCCAGGAACCTGGAGGGGCACCACCAGATCACCGCTGCCTGCTTCCTGCCCTCCTATTGCTGGCTCGTCTGTGCCACCCTGCACTTTCTGCACGCCCCCACCCCGGCTGGCCAGACCCTCACGAGCATCTACACCAGCTTCCTGCGTCTGAACTTCAGCGGGGAGATGGTGGACAGCGGTGACCCCTCCAAGTTGTCGCTGATGGCCTACGCAGCCCGAACCATGGGTAAGCTGGCCTACGAGGGGGTGTCCTCCCGAAAGACCTACTTCTCTGAGGAGGATGTCCGCAGCTGCCTGGAGGCCGGCCTCCGGGCGGAGGAGGAGTTCCAGCTGCTGCACGTCTTCCGCTGGGACGCCCTGAGGTTCTTCCTGGCGCCGTGCGTGGAGCCGGGGCACCGGGGCACCTTCGTGTTCACCGTGCCCGCCATGCAGGAGTACCTGGCCGCCCTGTACATTGTGCTGGGTTTGCGGAAGACGACCCTGCAGCAGGTGGGCAAGGAAGTGGCCGAGATCGTGGGCCGCGTGGGGGAGGACGTCAGCCTCGTCCTGGGCATCGTGGCCAAGCTGTTGCCGATGAAGGCCCTCCCTCTGCTCTTCAACCTGCTCAAGGTAACAGCAGCTTCCGGACCCCAGGCCGCTGGCCTCCGACACCCCCCCGCACCCCCCCGCTCCTCTCCCGGAAGCAAACTGCAGCTGTCCACCCTCTCTTCGGCTCTGGTTTCAGATCTGGGCCCTGTGGCTTTTAGTAGGATTAGGGTGTTAGGACGCAGGAGAGAGAAGCCCAGGCTGGGGAGGGCTTGGCAGCGGGGAGGGGCATTTGAGGGCACAGGGGCGTCCATAACAATCCTACAACCCTAAGACGGTTTTCTTTTGCCCCTGTCCCCCTCATCTTTGTTTCGGGGAGGCAAGGGTCACCGAGTTCAGGGTCTGGACTCTGCCCTGCAGGTCCAGACGGGTGATCATATCTGTTCCCTCAGAGGTGATTAGACTCCAGGAATGATGACTCATCTGAACTGAATCACCAGAGGCAGGTTTATGAAGCAGATGCCATTTTATTCATTTATACCGGGAGGAGAAATGCACCGGTAATTGGCTTAGACAGGGCGCAGGTCCACTTCGGGCCCAATTACAGGCCCGAGACGGTGCTGTGAGCAGGGCGGATGCTCTGAGTGTTCAGGGGGAAGAAGATCTGCCGTCTGCTGACATCTGCGAGGTGGGGGTGCTAATAAAGGCAGTGCTGGTGTGATCCCGCTGTAGACGAGGACACGGACGCTTGCAGAGGCTAAGGGACTGGTCCGCGTCGCTTGGAGAGTCAGTACAATAGCTGGGGTCTGAGCCCAGGCTTCACGACTCGGAATCCTGTCTGTGTCTGCCCGACTCGACTCCATGGTGGATACTTTGTCGAGCCGTGGTGCCTGGCTAGGTACCCTTTTCCTCTCTGAGAAAGTTCTAGTAACTTGTCTTGAGGAGGCAGAGCCTGGTCGGTGCTGGCAGAATTTCAGCGTTTGCTTTTATGGGCAGCAAAGCGTAAGGGTGAAGAACAGGGCTTGAGTAATGCAGCGACCTGGGCTGGAATAAAGGCTCTGCCACTCACTAGCTGTGTGACCTTTGATAAGTTGCTTAACTTCTCTGTGCCTCAGAGTCCTTATTTCTTTTTCTTTTTTTAAATATGTTTTTATTGATTTTTTTTTTTTTTTTATCCTCAGCCGAGGATATTTTTCCATTCTTTGTTCAGATAGAGCGGGAGGGAGAGAGAGGAAGGGAGAGAGAGAGAAACATCGACGTGAAAGGGACACATCGAGTGGCTGCCACCCGCACGACCAACCAGGGCCGGGGACAAACTGCAGTCGAGGCACGTGCCCTTAGCGGGAACTGAACCCGGGTCTCTCCAGACCACAGGCTGACGCTCTAACCGCTGAGCCAAACTGGCCAGGGCCTTTTTTTTTTTTTGGAGAGGAAGGAAGAGAGAGAGAGAAATATCCATGTGAGAGGGAAACATTGCTCGTCTGCCTCCTGCATGCCCCTTACAGGGGATCAAGCCCGAAACCCAGGCATGGGCCCTGACCGGGAATCAAACCCGGACCTCTCAGTTCATGGGATGATGCTCAATCCACTGAGCCACATCGGCTGGGCCAGACTCCTTATTTCTTTTTTTCTTTATTGATTTTAGAGAGAGAGAAAGGGAGAGGGAGAGAGAGAGAGAAACATAGATGAGAGAGAACACTGATCGGCTGCCTCCTGCACGCCCCCCTCTGGGGATCGGGCCCACAACCTGGGTGTGTGTCCTGACTGGGAATCGAACCAGTGACCTCTTGTTGCAGAGTCAACGCTCAACCACTGAGCCTCACTGACCAGGCAAGTCCTTTTTTTTTTTTTTAAATCCTCACCTGAGGATATTTTTTCATTTATCTTCAGATAGAGTGGGAGGGAGAGAAAGGGAGAGAGAGAGAGAAACATTGGTGTGAGAAAGACACATCGACTGGTTGCCTCCTGCATGACCCCAACCAGGGCCGGGGACAAAATGCAACCGAGGTACGTGCCCTCAGCGGGAACCGAATCCATGACTCATTGGTTTGCGGGCCGACGCTCTACCGCTGAGCCAAACCGGCCAGGACAAGTCCTTATTTCTGAAATGGGGCTGAAGTAGAGTCTGTATCACTGGCCTAAGAGGAGGAGTATTGTGTTCGTCCTCAGGGCACACAGTAAGTGCGGTTTGAGTGTTAGACATCAGGACAGGCTCAGGCAGCCGCCACCCCATCAGCTCAGGCAGCCCCCCCACCATCAGCCCAGGCAGCCCCCCCACCATCAGCCCAGGCAGGGAGCTAATGGCCATGGCAGAGGGTGCGCCTGCCGTACCCAGATGGCAGCGAGAGGCCGTGGTCCCCCGACAGGGTCCAGACAGCCCCGCGCTATCACGCACAGTGCGCCGGGGTAGCTGGCACCACCCCGAGCCCCCGGAGGGAGGACTGCCTCGCAGGGAAGGTCCTCTGCGTCTTCATGATCCTGGTGACTCAGCTTCCCGGGGGACGGGTCCTCCCCACGCCAGGTTAGTGTGGGGGGAAGAGGACTACACCCTCCATGGCAGGAGCCTCCCTCCAGAGAGTGAAAAAATAAAAACAGACATTAGGGGAAGTGCCACAGAACCGCCTCGTGGCTTCTGCCGGAGGAAGGGCCCCTTCAGAACCACTGCAAGTCGAGAGGCGGGCTGCAGCCCCCCACATTCGGTTCTTTGGTGAGCCCCTGAGTGCCAGGCAGTGCGTAGGTTCTGAGAAAAAGCAGTTAACCAAACCCCAGGTTTCTGCCTTCCCCAATCGTACAGTCTGAACACAAACACATCAGCATAACCATGGAATTAAAAAGTATAATTAGGCCCGGCTGGTGTGCTCAGTGGCTGAGCATGACCCCTCCACCAAGAGGTCACCTGTTTGATTCCCGGTCAGGGCACGTGCCCGGGTTGTGGCCCGATCCCCAGTGGGGGTCATGCAGGAGGCAGCCAATCGATGTTCTCTCTCATTGATGTTTCTCTCTCTCTCTCTCTAAAATCAATTTTTTTTAAAAAGGAAAAAACTATAAAAAGCAAAGGTATGGTTAGCACCTGGAAAACAGAGTTCCAGGTGCTGAGAGCGTGTAGTGGGGCCTGGTTTGGGGACTAAGGGCAGTCTCTCTGCGGGAGGGCAGTCAGTCTGGTCCCTGGAGGATCAACCAGACAGAGAATCGGGGGGAAGGACTTCAGAAGAGTATGTAGCTTTGCAGGAGAAGAGAGCTTGGCTCTGTAAAAAAAAGAGAGGAAAGTTGAAAGGACAGCAGCAGTAAGAGAGGGCGAGGCCTGAGAAGACGTTGGCAGGGACCAAGTGACAGGTGCTGTGGGCGCCACGAAGCCGTTGAAGGCGGTCTTCACAGTCCCTGGCCGGCTCCACGCTACCGCAGGGTGCAGGCGGGTTGCTCCCCACCAGCTCCTGGCGTGCACGAGACGTTCGGGGAGAAGCACGTGTGTCGAGTGCAGGGGACACGTGCCGAGGGCACACGGGAAAGATCAGGTTGGGGCCCAGTTGTGAAGGGCTTTGCGTTCGGTGCGGCAGTGGGGGGCCACCAAGGTGTTGGGCGGTGGGGGAGCAGGATGGCATCAGGCTGTGAGTTCAGGAGGGGGCCCCCAGGAGGCTGCAGCACCCGCCCGGCGTCCTTCCTTCCCCAGGTGGTCCCACGGGTGTTCGGACGTGTGATGGATAAGAACCGCGAGGCGGTGGCCCAGGCCATGGTGTTGGAGATGTTCCGAGAGGAGGATTACAACAACGATGACGTCCTGGACCAGATGGGCGCCAGCATCCTGGGCATGGAGGGCCCCCGGCGCCACCCAGATGAGGCCCCCGAGGACGAGGTCTTTGAGCTCTTCCCCATGTTCATGGGAGGCCTTCTCTCGGCCCAGAACCGGGCCGTGCTGGCTCAGCTTGGCTGCCCCATCAAGAACATGGACGCCCTGGAGAACGCCCAGGCCATCAAGAAGCAGCTGGGCAAGATGGGCCGGCAGGCGCTGCCCCCCTCGGAGCTCCTGGACCACCTCTTCTTCCACTACGAGTTCCAGAACCAGCGTTTCTCTGCCGAGGTGCTCAGCTCCCTGTCGCAGCTCAACCTGGCGGGCGTGCGCATGACACCCCTCAAGTGCACGGTGGTGGCGGCCGTGCTGGGCAGCGGGAGGCACGCCCTGAATGAGGTGAACCTGGCCTCCTGTCAGCTGGACTCCGCGGGGCTGCGCACGCTCATGCCCGTCCTCCTGCGTGCCCGGAAGCTGGGGTGAGGACTCGTGCACAGCAGGGAGAGAGGAGGTGGGGGGACAGAGAGTGCTGGGGAGACCAGGGGTGCTGAGGAAGGGCTGAGGGATGCAATGAAGTCTGGTTGGGTGGGGGTGACAAGAATAGAGGGAAGCCCTGGCCAGTTTGGCTCAGCGGTTAGAGCATCGGCCTGTGGTCCAGAGAGACCCGGGTTCGGTTCCCGCTAAGGGCATGTACCTCGGTTGCAGTTTGTCCCCGGCCCTGGTTGGTTGTGTGGGTGGCAACCACTCGATGTGTCCCTTTCACATCGATGTTTCTCTCTCTCTCTCTCTCCTTCCCACTCTATCTGAACAAAAAAAGTCCTGGGGTGAGGATAAAGAATAGAGGGAGGACAGGTGTGGACGGCCAGAGGCTCAGTGGGTGGGTGGTGCCTGTGCTGAGTTCCTTCTTCGGTCTCTCCCCTTTCTTCCCCTCCCCTCTGGCTTCAGCTTGCAACTCAACAGCCTGGGCCCCGAGGCCTGCAGGGACCTCCGAGACCTGCTGCTGCATGACCAGTGCCAAATCGCCACCCTGCGGTGAGTGTCCTGGGAGGGCGCTGCAGGGAGCATCTGGCCGTTCTGGTGGCCACTAAGGTCCAGGGTGTGCCCCTTGCCTCGACATGCCTGACACGGGCCCACCTACAGCGTGGGGTGGGGGGTGGAAGTCTGGCCCTGCCCGCCCCCAGGTCCAGTACAAGCCGCAGAGCAAGAAGGGGGTGAGGTGCCGCCAGCTGTGGGGGCTGAAATCAGCCTGGGGAGGGGTTAGGAGGACACCTAGGCCGGTGTCCTGGCAACAGTGCCACTGACCCCTCCTGGGTTTTCCTGGTCGAGGACGACCTTCATGCTGGGCACTCAGGTGCTCCCAAAGCGTTGACTGATTTACTAGGAACCCAGACTCCTGGGTTCCCAATTTCTGTCTGAAGTAAGAGGAGGTGAATGAGGAAAAAGAAGGGGGGCAAGAAGATGGGGCGGCGGGGTCTGGGGAGGTGGGAAGGGGAATGGTGTCGATGAAGGGGAAGGGAGCAGGACCAGAGGGAAGCCAGCTCCTCTCTCTGCAGCAGCCGCACCTGTTTCTCCTCCCGCTCTGGTCCTTTAGTTCTGTGTCCAGGCCACTGTGTGCCCCAGGCTGTGTGTCCTTGTGGCCCAAGCTCAGGGTCTCTCCCAGGGGCCCTCATAACCTGGGGTGCTTGTGGCTGTAGGCTGTCCAACAATCCGCTGACGGCAGAGGGTGTGGCCTTGCTGCTGGAGGGGCTGGCGGGGAACACCTCGCTGACACACCTGTCCCTGCTGCACACGGGCCTCGGGGACGCGGGCCTGGAGCTGCTGGCTGCCCAGCTGGACCGGAACCAACGGCTGCAGGAGCTGAACGTGGCCTACAATGGCGCCGGCGACACAGCGGCCCTGGCCTTGGCCCAGGCTGCCTGGAGGCACCCTTCCCTGGAGCTGCTGCAGTGAGTCTGGTCCCTGGTCTGCCTGCCCAGCTGCCCAGCCGGAGACTGTTCCCATCCCTCCCGCCTTCCTCTCCACTGGCTTTTCCTGCCCTCGGCGGGCAGCCTGGGCCCCTCCTCTCCCTGGGTTCTGAGCCCACCACCCCTCTGTGATCCGCCCTTACCCTGCTCTGATTCCTTCCCACCCTTTGTCCTAGGGCCCCGGGACCCCATTCCTCGTCCCTGGTCCCACTAAATTCTGGTGTTATCCCTGCCTCCCATTGCCCCCCCCCCCCCATCTCTGGCTTATTGAAGACACACCCCATTGAGTTACTCAGCCACAGCCCCCCCCCCTCCCCTCCCTGTCTGCCGGTCACCCCTGCCGCTCCTCAGCCCCGCACCTGCTCCTCTCTCCCCTGCCAGCCTCTACTTCAACGAGCTGAGCTCCGAGGGCCGCCAGGTCCTGCGGGACTTGGGGCGCACTGCTGCCGGCAGTGCCCAGGTTGTGGCCTCGCTGACGGAGGGAGCAGCGGTGTCCGAGTACTGGTCGGTGATCCTCAGCGAAATCCAGCGGAACCTCAACAGCTGGGATCAGGGCCGGGTCCGGCGCCATCTGGAGCTCCTGCTGCGGGACCTGGAAGATAACCGGGGGGCCACCCTTAATCCGTGGCGCAAGGCCCAGCTGCTTCGGGTGGAGGGCGAGGTCAGGGCCCTCCTGGAGCAGCTGGGAGGCCCTGGGAGCTGAGACCGTGGCCGCAGGCCCTCGCCGAGTGACCCCGTCCCCAAGCTGCTGCCCTCGGGGCCCCCTGGCTTGCAAGGCTGCTCTGCAAGGATCCTCACGGCTGGAGGCAGAGGGCACAGTGGCCTCCCGGAACATGTCCCTCCAGGCCTCCCTGTCGGGGATTTCCAGGGTCCGGAAACATGCCTCCTGTCCCCGGGGCTAGAAGGACCTGCGGATGCGGCCGAGTCCTCCCAGGGCACCACCAGGAGCCCTGCTGCTCTCTCCTCTCAAGGAGCCTCCAAGCCACCAGGGGGCGCACTTCTTACGTCCGCCTTGCCTGGGGTGGCATCCCAGTGTCGGGGTGTCTGCCTCCTGCCGGTCTGCTTGGGGTGGACGCCAGGACCCATGGCCTCTGCCCTCTCGGTGGTGCTCCCCTCCCTCATCGGCTGCACAGTGGTGCTCAGGGTCCCAGCCGCCTGGGCACCGACTCACCTGCTATTAAAAACGTCACCTGTGGCCTCTCCGCCCGGGGCTTTCTGTGAAGGGCACGGTTCTTGGCCGCTGATGAAACTGCTGGCCATCCTGTTGCAAGTGGTTCTTAGGCACCAGGTTCGAAGGCAGGGAAGGCCAGGGGGACCCATGAAGAAGGGACGGGGTCCGGGTAGGCCATGCTGGGCTGGAGGACCCCCCCCCCCCTCATACACACTTGCCCCAGGCTTGGAATGAGCGGCCAGGGGTCCCTTTCCCCGGGATGGCGGAGCCGGGACAGCTGCGAGTCTCCGGGGAAGCCGCCCGGATGGGTGCAGGAGGGACAAGTGTTCTCCCGGGTTAAGACTCCTCCGTTAACCATTATCCCGAGGCCGCGTCTTCAAGGAGGCGGGGCGGGGTGAGTGGGGAGGTCAGCTGGTTTCGATGGACCTTGTCCCCATCCTGAGCCCTGGGTGGTTGATCTAGCTATGGAGGCAGCTGCAGGTAGGAGATGGGGAGAAACCCCCCGAGGGGACTCAGGGCGCTCAGGGGTCCACTGGGGGGCTGAGGCTTTCTAGGCCAGGGCACTTTGATGTTGGGGCTCCGAGCCCTGAGACGAGTAGACTGGGAGACAGTCTGCCTTCCTGGTCCACACCCTGGATGATGTTCAGATCTCTGCGCGGTGGCCTCGGGGGGAGGAGGGGAGGGCCAGGAAAGAACCTTTCGGAGCAGAGTGGAGGGTCGCGTCCTGAGTTTGGGGGCTCCCCCACGTCCTCAGCGAGTGGCCGTGGAAGGGGTGGAGGACGTGCCTCTCTGCCCCTCCCCCTCTTTGCCAGCAGATCTCCAGGACACAGCTTTGTTGACTCTGTAAGTGGTCACCCCCGAAGGTGGGGCCCAGGGGTGCAGGACACTGAGGTGGGGAGCTCTTCAGCTGCTGTTCCGCCTCCAGTGGGGTCTGGGATCTCCTCGCAGGAAGTTTGAGTTTAATCCGAAACTGGGCATCGATAACCCTGTCCTGTCCCTGGCTGAAGATCATGACCCCTCTGGTAACCACCTTGCCCCTGGGTAACCATTCCCTTTCCCCAGAGACACCACAGCCCTGCCCAGCCCCCCCCCCCTCCTGTTAACCACCTCTGTCCCCCTCTGATAAGAGCCTTGGTGGGGAGTAGCCACCGGGACAGAGGAGGGGGCCAGGCATTTCCTTCTGTCCCAGCCACTCTGCCCGCACTCGCCCACACCGAACTGGGTGGAAGTCCAGAAGCAGACCCTCCTCAAGCACCTGCTCCCCCATCTGACCTTGGGCCCCCACCCATCCTCCCTTTCAGTCTGTGCTGTGCCCGTCTCCCCCTCCCCCTTAGTGCCTCTTTCCTGGGCCCGGGAGAGGGGCTGTGAGGAGGTGCCCGCCTCTGCCCCCCGCCCAGGTAGTCGATGCCGAGGCTCTGGGTCCCCACAGCTTTGGCAGAGTGGAGAACAGGTGACCCTGTTGGTTGCAGGGCCAGAGGTGGAGGAACCTGGTGCTCTACCAAGGGGCCAGCTCCTGCTGGGCACAGGGTGACCTGCACTCGGACCACATTCCTCCGCCCTCTCCCCTCCAGATCTCTGGGCCCTGGCGAGGCCTCGCTTCTGCCTGCTGAGCAGAGAGGAGGGCAGGGATTTTGGCTTCCATCTGCAGCGGGGGCCCGGCAGGGTCCGCCATGTGGTGTGCTGGGTGGAGCCGGGCACCTCTGCCCAGCAGCAGGGTCTTCGGGAAGGAGACCGGATCCTCGGGGTGAACGCCCATGTTGTGGAGCATGAGGACTTCGAGGTGGTGAGGTTGGGCTGGGGCTCCCTGTGGCCCTGCAGGAGGTTCCGTAGCTTTGCAGGGAGAGAGACGCCGGGATCACCTCCCTGGGTATATGGGGGCGCTACCCCAACCTTAACCTCCCCTCCCTTCCAGGATTTAGGGGTGCCCAGGTCAGAATATTTGGGTAAAGTCACCCAGAGAACTGGGTCCGTGGTGAAAACGTCGGTTCCTGGGACAGAGCTGGTGAGCGGCTGGCTCCAACCTCTCCCTCTGTCTAGGTGGTGCGCCTGGTCCGGGCCAGTGGTCCCCGGGTGCTGCTGACCGTGTGGGCACAGCAAGCTCACGACGTGGCCCGAGCTCAGCAGGGGGACGGGGCCCTCCTCTGTCCTGCTCTCAGCCAGGGCGTCCGGCCCCGTCTGTGCCACGTGGTCAAAGACGAGGGTGGTTTTGGCTTTAGTGTGACGCACGGTGAGCTCAGAGGCTCAGGAGGGAGGTCAGGAGCGGGGTCTCCGCCCGGCTGCAGGCCACCCGCGGACTGACACTTGCTTTCCTTCTGGCTTCCAGACCATCAGGGTTCTTTCTGGTTGGTGCTGACTGCGGGAGGAGCAGCTGAGCGGGCAGGGGTGCCCCCCGGGGCCCGACTGTTAGAAGTGGATGGGGTCAGCGTGGAGAAGTTCACTCACAGCCGACTCAGCAGGAAGGTGCGGCCGGCCGCCCCCACCCTCCTGCACCCTCTGGGCCTGGGCCCCAGCCTCCAGAAACAGACCCTCCTCGAGCACCTGCTCCCCCATCTGACCTTGGGCCCCCCCATCCTCCCTTTCAGTCTGTGCTGTGCCCGTCTCCCCCTCCCCTTAGCGCCTCTTCCCTGGGCCCGGGAGAGGGGCTGTGAGGAGGTGCCCGCCTCGCCCCCCGCCCAGGGAGTTGATGCCGAGGCCCTGGGACCCCACAGCTTTGGCAGAGTGGAGAGCAGGTGACCCTGCTGGTTGCAGGGCCAGAGGTGGAGGAACAGTGTCGCCTGCTGGGAATGCCTCTGGCTGCACCGCTGGCAGAGGGCTGGGCGCTGCCCTCCCAGCCCCGCTGCCTGCACCTGGAGAGAGGGCCCCAGGGCTTCGGGTTCTTGCTCCGGGAGGAAAAGGGCCTTGGTGGTCGCCTGGGTGAGTCGGAGCCCTGGGGGAGAGGGCGAGGGGAAGGTGGGCATACATTGTATCTGTGCATGTAAGGGGTGCCCCTGTCCGAAGCTCCCTGGGCCTCCTCCTCCTGCGTACCCCTGGGCACCCCCAGCGTGCCTGGGCTGGCACTGAGGGTCGCCAGGCGGAGCAGTGAGGATGTCTGTGTCCAGGGCAGTTCCTGTGGGACGTGGACCCAGGACTGCCCGCTGAGAGGGCCGGGATGCAGGCTGGGGACCGGCTGGTGGCCGTGGCTGGGGAGAGTGTGGAGGGGCTGGGCCACGAGGAGACCGTGTCCAGGATCCGGGCGCAGGGCTCCCGGCTGTCCCTCACTGTCGTGGACCCTGCGGCTGACCGCTTCTTCAGCATGGTGCGAGCTGAGGCGGGGCGGAGGGCGGGGAGGGCCTGGAGGGGGACCCAGGCGGCTGGAGAAGCAACAGGTTCGTTCCGTCGGCCTCCTTCCAGGTCCGTCTGTCCCCGCTCCTCTTCCTGGAGAGCACAGAGGCTCTTGCCTCTCCCCAGAGCACCTGCTCAGCCTCTCTGCCGGAGACCAAGGAGCCCCCGCCTGACGACACGGCCGTGCCTCCTGTCCCCGGGGGCTCCCGCCTGTGCCTCCTGTACCCGGGGCCTGGAGGTGGCTATGGCTTCCGCCTCAGCTACGTGGCCGATGGGCCTTGTCTCTTCGTCTCCCAGGTGACTGATGCCCCCTGCGCCTTACTCCTGGTGAACCTTCCCCTTCCCTCCAGACCCTAGAGCACCCAGCACCCATTGCCAGGGTGGTCCCTGCTCCGTGTCTCACTCACCCCCACCCCCAGGTGACCCCAGGAGGCTCAGCGGCTCGGGCGGGGCTGCAAAGGGGAGATGTCATCCTGGAGGTGAACGGGGACTCTGTGGACGGACAGGGTGACCTGGGAAGGCTCCAGCAGCTGGCCGAGGCGGAGCCACCTCTGTGCCTGAAGCTGGCCACCAGGTCTCCGCAGGGCTCGGAGGCGCGGGTTCCCCCAGAGCCTGCAGGGGCGAGGAAGGAGAGACAGAGGGCCGGGGACCAGGACGGAGGGGAATCAGAGAGGTGAGCAGAGAGGAGGGCTCCGGGGTGAAGCGGGTGGGCGTGAAGATTGGGACTTCAGGCCATGGTAGTGGGGACCGATGGGCCCATGGAACAAGTCCCCTTCCTGGGCGTTCCCGTGCAGGTGGGACAAGGCAGAGGGACTCTTCCGGCCCTTGAGTGACCTTCTCCCTTCTCTCTCTGCTCAGGAGTGGGCTGTAGCCTCCGACCTGCTGTAGTGCCCCCTCCTTGGCACGGACCTGCCCACTAGCCTTCCTGTTTTCACTCTCCAGTCGGAGGTGGTAGCAGCTGGACCTCTAGGACTCTGGACAATCACAGGCTTGCCCAGAGCCTGCCTTCCTTCCCAGGGGCACAGCTCCCAGAAGAGGGTGTGGCCAGAGGCCTGGGTGGGCCCCCGGGAATCCCCCCCATCCGGCGCCGGGGAAGCCCTGTGGGAGCTTTGGAGGCTGTGCCCGGAGGATGGAGGTCTGCCTGCGAGGACGTTGTGACTTTGTGGTTTATAACGAGAACGCGTATTTGGTCCCGATGTGCATTCCTGGCACAGAGCTCCTACAGCCTGCGGAACTCCCTAAGCAGTAGGAGCAACAGGGGTCTCGTTATTCATAGAAAGCTCCCTTCAGCCACACCCAGTTTTGTCACTGAGGTGGCTTTTGGAGCATCTTAGGATGGGAGAGACCGGTTGCCAGGGGGACCAATGGGGTTGAAGCTTTCAGCCCCCCCCTGGCCTCTGGGAGGGGAGAGGGGCTGGAGCGTGAATGAATCACCAGTGACTTAATCACCATGCTTACGTGACGAAACCCTGGAAGGACACTGTTCAGACAGCTTCCCAGTGGCCGAGCGAGCGGAGGTGCTGGGAGGGTGCTGTCCAGAGAGGGCAGGTGGCTCCGTGCCCTGCCCCAGGCATCTCGTCTCTGTCCCTCCTTGAATTGCATGCTTTACAATAAACTGCTCATGCCCTGGCTGGTTTGGCTTTGCGGTTAGAGCGTCGGTCTTCGGTCCAGAGAGACCCGGGTTCGGTTCCCACTAAGGGCACGTACCTCGGTTGCAGTTTGTCCCCGGCCCTGGTTGGTCGTGCAGGTGGCAGCCACTCGATGTGTCCCTTTCACGTAGATGTTTCTCTCTCTCTCTCCCTTCCTCTCTTTCCCTCCCACTCTATCTGAACAAAAAATGGAAAAATGTTCTCGGGTGAGGATAATAAATACATAAATAAACAAACTAGTCCTCCAGTGAGTGAACTGTTCCCCTGAGTTCTCTGAGCCCCTCTATCAAATGACGGGGTCGTGGGGCCCTCGGAGGTGTACCAGGTGCTCAGAAGCATAGGTGACAGCCTGTGGTCAGCGTCTGGCGGGACTGAGTCTTTAACCTGTGGCGTCTCCGGGTAGATGGTGTCGGAATTGAGTTGAACTGTCGGACACCGGACTGGTGGCTACAGAAAAGCTGGAGAATTTCTACATTTGGTCCCCAGGAGTGAAGTGTACTGAGAGTGTTTTCACAGGAGGGAGAAACACACTATCCCTCCTCAGGCGGGCTGTAGGCCCCTAGGGTTGCAGCCCTCTCTCTGGACGTTGGCCCAGGTGTGACTCCAGGACTCTGGGAGGGGGGGTGAGGGTCTGGAGACCAGCTACACCATCCCTCTGTGAGCACCTTCGGGTCATGGGGCTGGAGCTTGGTCACTGTCGGATTGTATACAAATGGTCTTTCCCTACCAATCCGGCTCCTGTGTTTGTGCGGGTGGGGGCAGGAGGCTGTTGTTCGAAGGGACAACAAGGACCCCAGGGTCAAGGGGTGGGACCCAGTTTCTATAGAAGGAGGGTTAGGACCTGGTCAAATTTCTCTCCCATCATTCAGTCTTCAGGGCCAGCCCAGAACCAAGATGGTCCCAGGAGAGGCACTCATCCGACACCTGCATCAAGACAGCCTTATTGCTGACCCTCAGAGCGCCCCCAGCCGCCCGGGCCCAGGGGGCTGAGTCCAGACTGGCGGAGCTGCTCCCCGTGCCTGGCGCAGCCTCAGCTCTGCTCCATCCCGCGGCTGCCCGCTTAGCCAAGACGCCGTCCAGGCCGCCCTGCAGACACCGAGCTTCAGGCTTCCAGAGGGGAGGGGTGGTGAGGGGTACCCCAGGTGGGCCTATAAGCTTTCCTTTCTTTCTTTTTGGTTAATCTTCTCCCAAGAATATTTTTTTTATTGGTTTTGTTTAGACAGAGTGGAAGAGAGAGAGAGAGAGAGAGAGAGAGAGAGAGAGAGAGAGAAACATTGATGTGAGACACATCAATTGGTTGCTTCCCGACCAGGGCCAGGGATGAAACCTGCAACCCTGGTGCATACCCTTGACTGGGAATCGAACCTGCAGCCTTTTGGTCCATGGGCCAATGCTCTAACTGTTGAGCCAAACAGACCAGAGCCGCCAATGTTTTCTTTTTTAAATCCTCACCTGAGGATATTTTTCCATTCATCTTCAGAGAGACTGGAAGGGAGGGAGGGAGAGAGAAACATTGATATGACAGACACACATCAACTACTGGCCTCCCATGTGACCCTGACCAGGGCCAGGGATTGAACCGCAACTGAAGTACGTGCCCTTGACCGAAAATGAACTTGAGACTTTTTGGTCCACAGTCCAATGCTCTAACTGCTGAACCAAACTGGTCAGAGAGCCAATGTTTTCTTAAAGTTCTTATTCTTAAAAAAAAAAAAAAAAAAAAAATGTTTTAATTGCTGTTTCAGAGAGAGAGGAAGGGAGAGAGAGATAGAAACATTGATTGGGCGCCTCCTGCACGCCCCCTACTGGGGATCGAGCCCACAATTCCGCATGTGCCTTGACCGGGAATCAAACCGGGACCTCAGTCCATGGGACTGATGCTCAACCACTGAGCCACACCGGCCGGGCTTAAAGTTCTTACTCTTAGTGGATGGGAGTGGTTGCATCCCCTCAAGACAGAGCAGGGTTCGCGGTGGAGATGCTGCTTCTCCTTCCTCCTGGTCCGTCATTGGCACACTAGCTGGCGTTTGTGGGGTGGGGGGTGCTGGTGCTGGGCTTGAGGGTGGCACTTACATGTGCCCCGTTCCTCGTATGTGGCTTCTGTGTCTGCCATGTGGGTCTGAAGCCGAGCCAGAGCCTGGTCCCGCTCTCTGAGGACCAGCTCTGCCTCTCCCCGGGCAGCCTCAGCCCCCCTCTGACACGTCTCTGGGGCAGAGGATGGAAGAGGACTGGATGGTGTTGCTCTATCCTTGAGTAGCCTCCAACGGCACCCAAAAAGTGGGACTTCAGTGAGATCATTCCAGACTCCCCCAGAGTCATCAACTTTCCTGTAGTCCCTAGAGAGAGCTGAATTTCCATGAAGGGTTGATGGAGACAGTAGAGGGCTTGGGACAAGAAATCTGGGTCCCAGATCGGGTTGGCACTACCTAGGAACAGTGGGTGATCTCTCTGTGAGCCTCAGTTTCTCCGCCTGAGAACGCCACATACTTCCTAGGCTCGCTGTGAGCCATGTCGATGTGATAATGTGTGGGAAGCTCCCAGTATCCAGGAGGTGCTCAATAAATATTGATTTTATTTAAATTTGAGCCCGGCCGGTATGGATGGCTCAGCGGTTGAGCATTGACCCGTGCCCCAAGAGGTCACGGGTTCGATTCCCAGTCAGGGCACATGCCCAGGTTGTGGGCCCGATCCCCAGTGGGGGGCGTGCAGGAGGCGGCCAGTCTCTCTCATTGATGTTTTTATCTCTCTCTCCCTCTCCCTTCCTCTCTCTCTAAAATCAATAAAGGAAAAAAAATTTAAAAAAAAGGAAAGACACGGCAGTGGTGTGGAGGAAGAACTGGGTTTGGAGAGACCGTCGAAAGGGGGAAATGAGATGAGAGAGTTATGTCTTTTTTTTTTATCCTCACCTGAGGACATTTTTTTTCCTTTTGTTCAGATAGAGTGGGAGGGAGGGAGAGAGAAAGAGAAACATCGACGTGAAAGGGACACACCGAGTGGCTGCCACCCGCAGGACCCAACCAGGGCCGGGGACAAACTGCAACCAAGGCACGTGCCCTTAGCGTGAACCGAACCCGGGTCTCTCTGGACCGCAGGCCGACGCTCTAACTGCTGAGCCAAACCGGCCAGGGGGAGAAGCACCTCCTCAGTGATGCTTTGAGAGGAAGGGCTTGGGGGGTGGGGACCCTCCCAGCTGCTCCCGAAGGCCCCTGGCTTCCCCCTCCAGCTGCCTGCTGCGGGTGCCCCTCCCTCCTGCAGGGCCTGGCTCCGCCCACTCACCTCTGTGGTTGGAGCCAGCGCACCGGTGGCGTCGGGGAGGAAGGAAGGGCAGTTGTGGGTGTGAATGGCTCTCTTGGTTCAGGGGGACAAGACCATGAAGGCCATCTTGGTTGTCGTGGTGACGCTGAGAAACCGAGAGACCCTGAAAACCCGAGGACCACCGCTAGGAAACCAAGACCCTCCCCCAGGGCCTCAGGATGGGGACTGTGGCCTTCTCCCTGCTCCCTCCCATGGGACGGCCGAGATTCGGCTCGGGCTGCACTGTGCGACCCACAAAGCATCCACAAGGCATCATCAGGCATCCCGAAGGCCCCTGCCCGGAATTCCAGGGCCTGTCTTCTCCAGGTTCCTGCCTGATCGATCGGGGAGCCGCTGACGGCAGATGGACGTCCCCCTTGTTTCCCTGGCCCCCTTGGGTGTCCTCCTCCAGCCCGTCCCCTGCCCAGCTGCGTGACCGGCCACATACCCGCGCATATGGCCCTCCCTTCACTGCGGGCCCCTCCAGTTCAGCCTCCAGCCTTTGCAGCCTCAGCTTCAGCCGGTCTTCAGAAGCCTTGGCGCCCCCCCCCACCCCCTCTGCAGAGCTGTGACCCGCGCCAGAGCTCCCGGGACAGGCAGGGGCCTCGCTGAGCGGCCTCCATGGGCCTGAGGGACTCTGCGCACCTCCGGACACCTGGCTTCGTCTCTCTCCTTCTCCTTTGGTCCGCCCCCCACCCCCAAGCCCTGAGGATGCAGAAGTGCCCCACTGGCCCACTTGCCTCGCCCCCAGAGCTCCCACCCTTCTCGCCCAAGGGTCTGGAAGCAAGTCCTTCTCCAGCACTGCCAGCCTGCGGGTGGGTGCAGCCCCAGGACTGCCCTGGCAGGTTGGCAGAGCCTCCGCTCATCGCGATCTCGGCCTCTTTGCTCCCCTTTCTGACCTGGGCTTTCTTCCCGCGGGGGACCTGGGGACCGCTCGAGGGGGGGCCTCTGACGGCAGCATCTAATGGGCTCACCTGTCCTTACTGCCCAGCACAAATATGTGTGATGGATACATGGAAGGCATGGAGCCCAGGGGCTGGGGGGTGCCAGTTCTCCCACTTTCCTAGCTTCGTGGCACCTGGACGCCAGGACATGGAGGGGGAGAGTCAAGAAAGCTCCATCTCGCCCTGGCCGGTTTGGCTCAGCGGTTAGAGCGTCGGCCTGCGGTCCTGAGAGACCTAGGTTCGGTTCCCGCTAAGGGCGCGTACCTCGGTTGCAGTTTGTCCCCGGCCCTGGTCGGTTGTGCGGGTGGCAGCCACTCGATGTGTCCCTTTCACATCGATGTTTCTCTCTCTCTCTCTCTGTTCCTCTCTCTCCCTCCCACTCTACCTGAACAAAAAATGGAAAAATTTCCTCGGGTGAGGATGAAAAAAAAACGAAAAAAAAAAAAAAAAAAAAAAAGAAAGCTCCATCTTGACTATGGACAACACTATGGTGTCACCTCAAAAAGTTAAAAATTGAACTGCCATTTGACCCAGTGACCCCACTTCTAGGAATTTACCCTAAGAAGCCTGGAATACCAATCAGAAAGAATATATGCACCCCTATAATCATAGCAGCACTATTTACACTCGCTAGGATCTGGAAACAGCCCAAGTGTCCATCGATCAATGGATGAGTGGATAAAAAGCTGTGGTACATGTACACAATGGAGTACTACGCAGCTGTAAGAAAGAA